GCTGTAATCACTCATCTGGTGACGTTATTACATTTACCACCACACCCCCCCCACACCCCAAAAGAAAGGACGTATTATTGGCTTCCCCTAATTTTTTCCCCATGCCACGCTACTGGTTGTAATCGGAGCGGCTCGGAAACACATCTACAGCATTAACATGCAACATACACATTAATGCAGAAACATCAGACATAATAGTAAAACACTGAAAGGGAACATTCTATTGCACCAGGAGCTATCTTGGGACTTTTACTGCGGCAACGTTGACTTGCCTGTGAATAAAAAATAAACCATAGTGTTGGTGATCTACAGTGTTGTCATTCTTCTTTGAACAGCAAGACTGCTAACACCCTATTTCAACAATCACACTCCCTGTAATTGACATAATTAATAGATAGTTTAGCTTCTCACCATCATTTGCCACTGATGTTAACGATCGTAACTGAAAGGCTGCCTGCCAAAAGTAAACATTCAGCCACGTGATTGCAAACTCTCGCGAGAGTTTTACACAAGACCGATCCTTTCTAGTCATAACCCAGGAACAGATTGCAGATTTTTGCATTTGTTGCAGTAAGTTTTTAAATAAAGTCAAGCTAGTTACAGTATTTTGATACATTTTCATAAAGTAGTATATCAAAGTAAAAGAAGTCTTGGAAATTCTGGGGGAAAACACATCTGTAGATCTAAACTGTACAGCAAGGATATCCTCCCAATATTTTTGCACATTTGTTTACAAAGCCACCTCTCTTAAACCAACAATTCTGCACATATTTTATTTTTGTCATATTATACTATTCATAGTTTTTGGTATATCTATATTTCATGTAAATATTTATCTATATTGAAAATGTTTAATAGCTTTTTTTATTTGTTTTTTATAATAGATGTTTGGTAGTTTTTTCTTAGAATTGTAACTGTCTTTATGTATGCACCAAATACACCAAGGCATATTCCTCTGTGTTAACTTACTTGGCAATACACCTGATTCTAATGGAGGAGAATACATGCACATTTCACTTCCAGCCATTCACTCAAGCACAGCTGTTGGAGCCACTTCCTGAGTTTGTATTTATGCATACTTTTTGATTAAATATACAGCATTTACAGCCTTAGATTGTGTGGTGTTTATTATTTAAAGAATTTGAGTGTGTTGCTCCTGCAGCATAAAGGAGGTTCTGCAGCCTAGCGGCAGATTGAAGCGATACAGTATTTAGACCTTGCTTTGTTAGCAGCGTGTGACAAGCTTGGTTCTGTATTTAGCTTTTAGAAAACAAATTCATATAGCAAATGGTTTGTTTGAAAGGGTTAATTTTTGCATTAACTGTTGGAATTAATAGGAATATTTTTATTTTTCGCCCCTGGACATTCCTTTTCTCTCCACCACAGCGTCAGTATTATAATCAGTGCACTCACCCACTCCGAAGAACAGGGGGCAGGTGAAGATGGCGGTGAGGGGCCCGGCGCAGGGCACCAGCATGGGCAGCATGCAGGCCCTGAACACCAGCTCCTCTGTGAGCGGGGCCACCACCTGGTTCCTCAGCCAGCGCATGTCACTGAAACACAGCGACCAGAACCAGGGGTCTGCAGGGGGGGGGGACACAGGGGGGGGTTATCACCTCTGAGGAGGAGGAGCTCTTCATTATAGAACACTTTCATATTGTACACTGATATAAAGTCTAAGCTAAGGGTTATTTATTTATTTGAAAACTGACATGACAAAGTGCTGTCATTGTTGTCAGCCCACACGGTTGTGGGTGACCGTGTCATACAACATACCATACGGAAAATATAATAACCTCTTCCCTTCAGGTCAGAATAAAATAAATAGTAAATAAGTGACTAGATGAATAAATATAAAATGCGGTCCTATTCTGGGATATATGGAAAAGTCTTTCTGTATTTCATTCTAAATTGTATTCCTTTTTATAAATTTGTATTTATTTACGCTAATATTTAAGTCTTGTTTTATTCAGTCCTGAATATATAATAATATATATTGTATTAAGTGTTCTTTTGAATCACAAAGCTGTTACCTTTTTTAAAAAAAAAATTGTTTAATTGTCTTTGTGCTTCGATTGTGAAGCACTTTGAGTTACCTTTGTGTTTGAAAAGTGCTATATAAATAAAGTTTGATTTGATTAGAACGTTTTATTTCTCTTTGCATAGCCATAGAAAAATATTTCTAACTGTTCACAATGTGTAACTGATTTTTCAAGCTCTAAATATAAATTATGATATGTCCTTTATCCACATGTGGGAAGGTGATGCTGATTGTTTCCATCTTGTTCGTTTTAGACATCTTGCCAATAGAGTTATAAAAGCTATCAGGGCCGCTCTGAGCCGAGGCCACGGGTCAGCAACCTTTACTATCAAAAGAGACACGTTGCCCGTTTGTCACCAAGTATAATATGTCTGGAGCCACAAAAATACATTTGATAAATAAAACGAGTTTGTTGCATCTGTAAACTTAAAGATTTCTAAAATGTTAAAAAGGTAAACATTTTGAAATTCTATTTCAATTTTTTTGAAGATAACATTTGTGGTATATATCGAGCGTAAAGGTAATCCAGCATTGTTGGAAGTGAAAAGCAAAGGAATCACGTCTCACCTATGGCCACCCGGAACCCGTCCATGAAGCTCCAGGGACAGTCCATCGCCAGCTGCATGAGTGGGCCCAGGAACAGCACCTGCAGCCGGACACATGCACACACCGGTCTGATTTAGGAGGGGGAATTTATTTTTATTTTATTTTACCGGGGCCGGATTTCCTGATGATTTTTGTGGAATTTCCCCCAGCGATTATTAGGGTAGGCCTTTATAGAGAGCACCGATCGTGGCATATCGTGAATATCGGCCGATCGATTGGAGCATCCCTAATTATTAATGTGAGTCTTTTATTTAGCCACACTGATTAAACCTAAACAGGACATGTGCTGCACCCATGGATGAAGGCAGTGGCGGCTGGTGGAAATTATTTTAGGTGGGGCTATTGTAATGGTGAATAAACCACACAGGGAACATTTTGAGAAATTACCCTTTAAATTATGACTTCTGGTGATGTTAGAGATATGAGAAGACTGATCAATACCTCCATAATCTTCAGTGTGGTTAGCTATAAATCTTCCAAAACTTCCAAACACCTTGTCCTGGACATAGTTTCTACAGTAAACTGTGCAACAGTACAGTAGGCCCACACACACTGCAGAACACCGGTTCTTTGGGAACACTCAAATGATTTAATTCCCATTTAAAATCAGGAGCAGGGTTCCTGCAGGTTTCGCCAACTCAAATTTAAGACTTTTTAAGACCTTTTTAATACCACTTTGAATATAATTTAAGACCTATTTCACGGCAATAAAGTATGAAGGAAAATTGCTATGAAAGAAGAAATACGTCCCATAATTACTTACAAAGTAAATGTATTCATGTTCAACATAAGAACAATGACTGAAAATAACAACATATCTTGTTTATTGGTATTTATTATTTTGATATTATTTATTTAAATGTATCATTTATTTAATACATTTTTGCATTGGTTTTTCAGTTCAATTATACGTTCTGGGTAATCAACAGTTAAAAAGATACTGTTCAAATTATTATTTATTTTAAAGTTCAATAAATGGATGTTTTCAAAGTCAATGAATAATCGTATTGTGTGTGTGTGTGTAACAAGAGCTATATTCAGAGCTCTGCTGCCTTGGCTACACTATTTCATCGTTGCTGTTGCATGATTGGTGTTTAGCTACGGTATTTAGCTACAGCACCTCCGCTTTTAGGGTTGACGTAGACCCAAACGTCGCCCGGAGGTCCCCCGGTGTTTTTGCGGGAGCTGCTAACTAGCTAACGCTACATTAGCAAAACAAACGCTAATTTATTTTGCAAAAGGTGCAGCGTGCTTCAAACACGTTCCCCTCCACTGGTTTCAACCAAGCACTCAATT